ATGTAGTAAGAGTTTTCAGTGTAAAGGAAAAAGTAGAATATCTCAAAAGACAAACAGAACAATGACAGTATTGATCTGTATGTACATTTTAGGCTCAGTGATATGAAAAATGTCAGAGAAGGACAGAAAGATTGAATAAAGCAAAAAGATGAAATTAGAATGACAGGCTGGGGCTGCATACCAAAGTTTCTTTTTTAGTCAGTCCTGCTATTAAATCAGCGTTTTTAAAATGATCAGAATCATCTGCATGGCAAACTCAACAAAGGGGTATAAGGGGGCTATTAATCCAGAACCCTGGCTAAAATGCACAGGTATTAAATCATGATTATAGGAAGTAGGTTCTTGGAATCTCCAATTAACTACAAAACTTCTTAACACACACCAGGTGATTCATTTTCACACCTCAGATTCAGAATATGCAAAGAAACAAACTGACTCTTGGAAAAGTTTCAGGGGGATAATTTTAAACGTCAAGAGTTAAGGATTTAGGGAAAATCAGTTAGAGATAATTAGTTAGGATTTCATTGCTGTGACCAAAATACCTGAGAACCACTTGAAGGGAGGACTTACTATTTTCCTCATGGTTTCAGAAAGTTTAGTCCACATCACATGGCTCAGTGTTTCTGGATCCAGGGTGAGGCAGAACATCACAGCTGGGGGAGCATAGCAAAGGCTGTTCACTTCAAGTGCAAGACACAGCATTTAGGACAAGCCCACTCTGACCTATGTCTTCCACCTAGACCTACCTTCCTACTTTCTTGTCACTCCCCAATACTCATATCATGAATCCATCAAGGGATTAATCCATCAATTAGGACAGTGCCCTTAGGAGTTTAATCATTTCTCCAAAACACATCAGCTAGCCGCTAAACCACCAATCTGTGAGCCTGAGAGGGACATTTCACATTCCAACTGAAACCATTATAATGTAAGACTATCCATCACAAAGTCTGGTTAAACATTGTTGAAACATGAGAAAAAAATGTTATAAGAATGATGGCTACTAGCAATTATTAA